AAGTATTCTGAACGTTGGCATTGTTGCGATAATATGCAAGTACCTAAATTTTCTCTACCTTCCTTTAGGACCAGTTGATTTTCTCTGTCAGCCTAAGTCCATTTCAAAATTCATGTAAAATCCTTGCTCTAATAAAATATCCCCAAAAAAATTTATGGTTTATAATCATTCCAAATTCCATAAGTTCTAGATCACACAGGCATGATCACGGGACTTAGAAAAGGGAAGATTTTCAGATGAAGAAATTCTCTTCACGGTTATGAGAAAGAATGAAATGTATAACAGCAAGTATGATTCATCTACTGAAATCGATTCTAATTTAGAAGAGGGAGACACTGTTGAAAATAAATGCTTTATATAGAGAGAAACAAAAACATTTGGGAAGAACGTAATTTTAAAGGAGACAACTGGTACACATCTTATCCACTTTCAGATGAACTTTTGAAGAAAAAAAAATATTGCTGGAACAATAAGAGAAAATAAAAAAAGAAATTCCAAATTTTTTTTAAATTTAAAAAACAAAGTTTACTCCAATATGTTTAGTTTTAATAAGATAAAGATTTTTTTAAAAAATTAAGATCCCGTGAAAACATCGCACTCACTCACGACTAGATTAAAGGAGTATATAAACAATGTGCTGAATGCCCTTATAAAAAGAATAGTAAAACTAAATTTAAGAGTGAAAAATGTAATAAACATAATGTATTTCCTACTTTTCTTTCTTTTTTATACAAATTTTATGGTATAATCAGAACGTAAACATCCTTGGGGGTGTGAGAGACCCTGCGCAAGAACTTTAGGCCATTTTTTTCGCATGAGTGATGCAGGGTTATAAGATAAATCAGTACTTACATACATGGCAATAATTGTTGGCAATACCAATTTCGCATGTGTCATATGCGCTGAATTGCCCCAATCATATGCTTCATTTCATATAATGTCGCCAAAAGGTTGTGATAATATGTAAGTACTGATAAATCCAATTTAAACAATGTCGATCAATTATTAATAAAACAAAAGTCGTTAAATATTATTAATCAAGAACATTTAATATTTATATGTAATGTCTAAAAATAAAAAGCATTCTTGAAATATAGATTACATTCAATTTTACTAACTAATTTTGTTCATTCTGTAATTTCTGTTCAGTAAATTTTGATTCTTTCAATATTCGAAAATGAGAGTGAAAGGAATCATAAAGTATATTGAAATTGTTGAAGCTCTTTAAATAATTTTGTATGAGAACTTTTAACGCATTTTCCATAAATTTACTAATAAGCTAAAAAGGTTCTTTAAAACTTACAAGAAATTAGACTCCTAAAAATTATAGTTTAAAAAAAATAAAAAACACTTTTATAGTTAATCGAACTAAAAGGAAAAAATAATTCTTAATATAAGAATAAAATGATTAGCGAGACAATGTCATTGTGATAAAAATGTGAGGTGCTCAATATCAATTGTTATAATTTCTTACTAGTTCTATTCTGAAATGCCGAGTTAGTGTAAAAATGTAGAACAAAAGCACCCCACGCTTTTACCACAATAACATTAATATATATTTTCTCGTTAATCATTTTATTCTTACATTATGAATTATTTTTTACTTTTTAGTTTAACTATAAAAGCGTGTTTTTGGTTTTTTTAAACTGTAATTTATTTTTCATTTTTAGTTCGATCTACAATAAAAGCATGCTTTTTAATTTTTAAACTATCATTTATTTATTTCCATTTTCAAAGAAAGTGGGCAATTGTTTATATTATAATAAGAAATTACTGACATGAGTGTTTTCGCTTTAGAGTTGTAACAATCTTTCAGTCACCAAATCTGGAAATGGAAAATTGTTAATCGTCATGATCCTTATCAGGACAATGGAACAAAATATTATTCTATTGTCATCAGTCCTTGAAAAGTGTGCAAAATTTCGAATTAATCAGACCTTTTAGAGTGGGTAAAAATATAGTTCGAAGATTCCGTTACATACAGGTGAAGCTTATAAAAGAGTCTAAAAAGATTACTAATTGAAAACGAAAATTTATTTTGTAAACTTGCCTTTTTCAAACCATGCAAGGCATTTTCGAGTTCAATATGAAAGTAAAGTTAAAATATTATTAAGATGATCAACCATTCTCCTTTTATAGATCCTGTCCTTCCTCGAAAAGTGTCCTCCTTTTTTCAATATTTTAAAACAGATCTGTTAATCTCTGTATTCAGAGATGAACCAAACATGTTTCCAATATGTCGAGGTATAGTCTGAAACAAATATCACAGGAAATAACAGTTTTCGATTGTGTTTTTTGACTTTATCACAAGTAAATTGGGCAGATATAGAAAACTGTGTTGATTTTTTTATCAAAAGAAATGCCTGATATTAAAATCATTGCCAATGGTCAGTTTTCAGACTGAATGTATATTTAAATTATAATAAAACTGAAACAATTGGAAAATCACAACATGCTGAAATTGATAAGATGGATCGAAATACTTAACCATTTCAAAAATAAGCACATCCCATAAGAAAATTTAGTTATTCTTTTTTAATTTACATTGTGCTGCCCTGGAACTAATGTACCAGTTGAGTCTTTTCAGTTCGTAATTTATGGACAAGTCAGAAATCAAGATTGAATGTTGATATTTTTAGTTGCAGTACTTATAGTAAAGATGAAAGGTAATTTTTGCTCCGAAATTTCCAATAAATTATAAAATATATTGAGAAACGAAACAATGCATTTTTGTTTGAATTAATAAAATGTTTCATACATTTACGTTGTAACTTTTTCTTAAATTTTTCGTTCTCCTTTTCATTTTAAAAATCTGGTCACCTTAAAAGTACTCCAAAGTAACACAATTATTTGCCTGAATAATTTAAACAAAATAACTTATTATGAATCAAGTAAATTATATTACATTTATAACACTAATCTGCCAAAATAAGGTGAATATTTATCCCATTAAATTTTTTCGTTCAAAGGCAGTTACTTAAGAAATATACAAATGAGTACATTTTACTCAAAAATCAAAACAATCTTGTACTCATGTGTTCTTCCGAGGGTAGCGTGGTAGATACAAAAAATAGTTCGGAAGATTTATGAGAATTAAATTTGTTGTTAAGTCCCAATTATCAAAATATGTAGCCGATATATTAAAAGAGTTTCTGCAATCCTGAATATCTTTTTTAATTTTTCCGAAAGCATTAATTAGCATTTTTGGGGATTTTGAGTATATGTAAGGAATCAAATTCAATCAAGGCATGCGGTCAAATCTGATGCAATCATAGTCATTTCAAATTGAGTGTATCTGCGTACTCATTTTTGAGTAAATCTTTTTTCTCCGTGTATAGAACAACATATTTGAAATTTAGCAGGCATGTTCCTTTTTTTGGCTAGAGAACCAAAACAAAAGAGGTTTTTATGAAAATTGACCCCCAAAGGGATTGCGAAGAGTTGAAGTGGCGTTATAGACAATTATTTCCGTTTTTGAACTATTAGACCTACAGACTTGAAACTAAGGTGCCATGTTCCTTTCATAGAGTAGAGATATAAGATCTCTACTCTATGAAAGCAACATAAGTAGGAGTTTTACGAAAGTCGATCCCCAAGGCATATTGCGAGGGGTTAAAGGGGTGCTATATATAGATAAATATTCCATTTGTGAACTATTAGACCTACAGACTTAAAATTTAGCATGCGTGTTTGTTTTATAGAGCAAGTTGGGTTTTCTGAAAATCAACCCCAAGGGTTTTACGAGGGTGTTATATTTTTTTTAAAAAAAATCCCTTTTATGAACCCCTAAACCTACAACCTTGAAATTTGAAAAACAGGTTACTTTTGTTGAGCAGAGATCAACTTAGAAGGGGGTTTTCAAAAGTCGGCCTCACAAGGGGGTTATGCAGAAGTTATAAATAAGAAAAAAATCCCCCTTTTCTTTTCCTTTTTTTACCCGCAGACAAAATTTGGCAAGTATGATTTTTTGTTAAGCAACGATATGCTAAAAGCTTTTCTTATTGTTTGTTTAGTTTGCAACTCACTTAAAATTAACTCGTTAAAAACTTCTTTAAAAGCATGGAAGCATAAAATATTTACATTCACTTAATTATAGGCAAAATAAAAAATTCTACAAAACCTTTTCTAATAATCTATCTTGTGTTTGAATAGAAGAAAAGACCTTTTAAATTAGCAGCCTTATTAATTTGGCATAGCTTATATATAGAGAGAGAAGAATTAATCTAGTGAATTTCCTTCACACTATACAAAGAATTTCCCCCTCCTATTTGAATTTTAGACTTAACCATCAAATCATTTTTTTTTTCAAAATTAATTTGAGGATTCTAATTTACTTTTAAAAAATGAAATTTTGTTTTTTAAACCAAATTTTACTCCAAAATGTTTTGAAAATTAATATTGAAATCTATTGCAAAATTAATCGTTATCATTACTCGGTCATATCTAAGTATTGGAAAATCTTTTTGTGTTTATTAACAAAGCTGAAAGTGCAAAATAAACAAAACAACAACAAAAAAATGTGATTCTGGTAGTATTTAAGTTTTTTTTCCTTTTTGTTTTTGCAACAGAATGTTTTTTTTTTATTTTTATGGATTTGGTCCTATAATTTAATAGCATCAATTTTGTCTGTAATTATTTATGTGTGATTGTTTTAAATTTATTACTAACTTAGCAATCAGAGTATATCAGAAAAAGAGAAGTCAAATTATGTCAGCTTAACAATAACAAGTAATATAAAAAAAATAAGTCAATTCTTACTTGGGTCAACAAAGAAACATTTTATTTTAGTTACTTTTTATTAAATAGTTACAATTAATATAAATATGTATATACATATGACAGAATCACAATATAAAGTGACAAAATAGAAAGCTATTTCCTTTGCAATTTTCCATTTTCCTTTCTATATATGGTGTTGAGCTACGATTTATTCATCAATTAAATTTAATTATTCTAATAAAATAGTATAGTAAAAAAAGTCACATTCTCAAATATTTGCCCATCCCAGGTGGGATTAGAATCCACGACCTTTGAATTAGAAGTCCAACGCGCTGGAACGCACAAAGGAAAAACAAACACTCGCTCCTGTAGTTAAACGCGCTGTCCATTGCGCTACAGGAACGAGTGTTTTTCCTTTTTATATATGGTGTTGGACTATTACTTTTGTTTGTTACTATTCATTAATTAAATAGGATTAAAGAAATAATATTTGAAAAAACTGTATTAACATCAAGTATTATCCACTACAAGTTAAAAATGTATTTGATTTTGAATGGATCAATATAAAGTATTTTTACTAACGATTGAAAATTTGAACAATATATATATATAAATGTAAGGATAATTAAATTAGATATTTAAAATTAAACTCCCTATATAGCTCTTAACTTTTATTTTTCCTTACATCTTCAAGCATTAAATTAATCACCCAAATATTTCCCCGAAACATATGGCCTAACCACTAATCATTTCTGATCCCAGATCATTATATTTAATAACTTTATATGCCAGACTTAACTTTCAAGTACATATCATAAAATACGAGATACTTCACATAGCTGGCGTACGTGGTAAAACACTTAGATTTCACTGAAGCGTTCTTTTTTTTTCTCTCTGCCTCTTAGCGTCAGATGATATCGAGAATTGATTGAATAACGTTCCTTTTTAAAGTTAAGTCTTATTCTGGCTCGAAACCTGTCATATATATATATATATATATATATATATATATATATATATATATGACATATTTACATATATATATATATATATATATATATGACATACATATATATGACATATTTACATATATATATATGACATATATATATATATATATATATATATATATAGGAAGAGAGTGAACTAATAGTAGGAATTGAAAAACATACTTTTAAGAAAAATACTCTCTAAGTAAAAATATATTTTAGAAACTCAGCACAAGACATACAAACATCAACGAACTAAGACCTGTTTTTAAAATTTTTCATTTAAATAATTTAGAACGGCAACAGGTAAAGATATTTTTAAAAAAAGAAAGCGTGTATCAGTGTGAACACACGTTAGAAGTTAACTTCTTTGGCTTACATGTATTGAATTGTATAATAAAGTTTTAGTTTGAAGTAATCTTATATATAATTAACAAATTTATTATTATCATTATTATTTCAAACTGTATTTTTAAAAAATAATTAGGATGGAAAGGGTATAAGTATAGACAAAATTTTCATTCTTAATACATAATACTAAAAAATTTTTTATTGTATGTATTTTGAGAAAAGTATCATCATTATTAGTCTATTTCCATTATGCTTATGGGTGCTTCAGTACATACTTTTGTTATCAAAGGCTTATGGTAACTAAAGTAAGGAATGTAGGTTTTGCACTCAATATCGCTTAAGTATCTCGAAAAGACTGTATCAATCGTAGTATTTGATTTTGTCGTTGATATTATTTTGTTGTTTTGTAGAGATAAGATGAAATTGTCTTTTAAAAATTCAATCAATTGTAGAGATTTGCCAAGCAAAATTGACATTAAAATCTCCACTTAAAATCATAGGTATTTTATCATAATTTTTATTAAGTAAAGCAGAACCTCTTGATGTGTATGGTAGTAATGATCGATGAAGGAACTAGATTACGTCATCCAACTTTTTGTTCGGAGTAATATATACTGCTACAATTATAATTTTTCGTCCATTATCTATTACGCATTCAACCAAGCACAAATCCCCCACTGAAGATTGTATGGTACCATAAATATCGGATTGACTGACAGAACATTCCATTGATGGAGTTATAATGTTAACAGCATCGCTAGAATTTTGATATATCGCAACTCCTCCTGCTCTCATATTTGGTCGTTTATTCTTCACAATGCAGTTGAAATTCGGAATAGATATATCACTTTTTCATTGCCCAGCCAAGATTCTGATAAAACTAAAATATTTGAATTGCTTATTACTGAATCTTGTAAGTCTACAGCGTGAGCTGTAAGACTTTGGCAATTAAAAGTAAAAATCGATAAACCATGTCTGTTCGTTATGAAATTAATCAAATCTTCTCATTGATAGTTTGTAGTTTGTGCAATGAAAGTCGTTTAAACTCCTCTTTCAAATCAATTGTTGATGACGATCGTCTTCGACAATGGTAAAATGTTTTATCATTATTTTTAGTCGTAATATATAATCCTTCAATACTCGTTACACGTGATAAAGCAACGTATAATAATGATTGAGAGTGACATCGATCGTATTCGTAAACAATTTCTGAGTATGTGTTGCCTTGAGATTTATGAATTGTTGTAACACATGCACACACCAACGGAACATGCGTACGCTTATGCATACATTTGTAAAGAATTGCTTAAAGAAGTTAAATCAGGTAAAAATATGAAATTTTTTTAAAAAATCAAAACGCATGGAACGTTTATAAATTTTTAAATTTTTTAAAACCATACTCATTTTTTTATATGATTTTAGTTCTAAGTTACATAGAGCCAGTAAAAATTTGGGACATGTTTGTAAAAAATTTTACTGCCCACTGTAGTTTTAAAATACAAATTAATGAAGCACTATATAATACTTTCACAACAATCAAATTAATTACACCAAAGCATATATATGATTTAAAAACTCACTTCTTAAGCTGGATTTAGAAATTCCATTCGATTGAAAAAAAAAAAAAATTTGTAAACACAATCTTTTATTACCAAACTATTGGAAGAAATGTTGTGTTGCCACTAAATTTTAAAACAATAGATTATTTGTATTATTTCCTTAAAAGAATTTTAAAACTGTATATCCAACAAACTCTCCATAAACTAATTTTTGACCGATTTTGAACCATTTAAATGCCTACTTCGGGTAGATTAAAGACTCACTTCCGATTTTTTTTAATTCATAAAATTGTTTATATTTTGACTTCTAGGTAACGTAAAACAAAACAAAGTATGTATCGCAAATCTAAAAGAAGAAAGACTTGTTAAAGCTGCAGTTGAATGAGGAGAGGGAGTTGGGGGTGCTAGCTCAGAGCTAATAGACGAAAAATACAAAAGAAATTTTAAAAGCCGTAATTTTTAATCTATTTTTTCAATCTTTGAACAGATTACGGATAATACTATTCTACATATGGAAAAAAAAGTTTCGTTAGATTATTTTTTTTATAAATAATGAAGTTATTAAATATTTAATTAAAATTTTGAGTATTTTTTGAAAAATCGAAAAAAAAAGATTTCGTCGTTTTTCTTTTTTTATGACTGATTCTAAAAGAGAAAAGCATGAACTTGTTTAGAATAAAATATCAATTCATTAACTCGAAAGGAAACTTAAAGGAAATGATTTAGAAACCATTTTTATAAAAGAGCATCAATTTTGACTAATTTAAAAAAAATCGTAAAAAATAGAAAATATCATTATTTTGTTGAAAAAAATATACCATATCGTGGCGAAAAGAATGATCTTTCCGATTCTGTAATAATTTTTTGTCTGAGATAGTATGAATTAGATGGCGTTTTTTAAAACGAGAGGAAAATTTGGAACTTCATTCATTTCTACCTTACCTTCATCACTAACCGTAACTGATAACGCGTAACGGAAATTTCTCCCTACCGTGCCATAAGAAGTTAACTTCAAAAACATAGATTCCCAAACTAAAATTCTTTTATAACGAATTTTCGTCAAAAGTGTTATTCCTAGAATTTCTCTGATTTCGAAAATATACTTCAAAATCGCAGATATTCACTATCGCAGAGATATATTTAAAAAAAAAATGGGGACTGTTCGAAAACTGTTGCAAGATTTGAAGGTTATGCATTAATTCTACGGAACATCAATCATGAATAATGAAATAAAAATAATTGAGTAAACCCATTCCATAAAAGAACTCGCAGAACAATAGTTAATAATTTTCAGTTCTCCGAAAATTATTAATGCGTGCCTACTATTTTTTATCCTTCCTGCCACAATTGAAACAGCTGAAAGTTTTTCTAAGCTAAAAATTATTGAAAATCATCTCAGAAATTTGATAGGCCAAAATTAGTTTTCGGACAAAACAATACATTCAACAGAAACGGATGAAGTTTAAAAACTAAAATCATCTGCTATAGATATTATTATAAATGCGTTTACAGAAAAAAAATCGAAAAAAGCTCATACAAAACAACTAAGCTAATTTTTAAGAAAAAAGTTTTTTTTAATACATATGCCTATGTATACTTATTTTACTCTACTTACTCGTGAGGTTGGTGGAAAGGGAAGAGAGGTGGGAGGCCCTTTTCACACCCAGGGTGCTCTCCCTCAAAATTGGGAAGGAACCGAGCAAAATCGTATTGTCACCTGCATGGTGCTCAAAGCTACGGCTAACGACAGACGTACTACTAGCCCCTTGCCATGATGAATTTCGTGCGCTTTGATCTGATGCTAATGCCGATCAGCCGGTATAAGTAACAACAACAACAACATTTTCAAATAAGTTTTATTATTGAGATAATTTTTATTTATTCTCCAAAAAACTGCCACCAAAGAATTTTTGATACGGGGCCCACTCAGGGCTGGCTACGCCAGTGCTGTTGTAACCATCGATCAGTATTTCCAGCTGCTGTATTGATGACATTGCTTTCCTGCTTCTAGAAAAATCAGACACAGGGATGTTTGGCGTTGAAGTTCCGGAAAGTGAAGAAATGGTTGATCGTGACTTGTATGAAATTCCCGATTTCAGAGAATCCGTATCAGATTCTGAGTCACTCATTATTCGCAAACAATCAATTAGAAGCAACCCCCTTAACCATAAAAGCCCTTAAAAGGGATGCAAAGGACCTTGCGTGTTCTCTCTGTCTTAAAGTGAAAAAAATCGGGCAGCTCAGACACATACTCTGAACAGGGCCGATCCTAGGGTATCGGCCGCCCTCGTGCAAACACCTAATGTGCCCCCCCCCTAGAGAACTTTTCATATTTTGAATAATACATAACGTTGATGTTAAAAAATCATCTACTTATATAGGAATAAAAAGTAAAACACATTAATAGTAACTCAAATAAAATTTGAAGTGCGGAACTTCATTTTTTGGCGAGATAATGAGTTATATTAGTGACAAAATGCTTTAACAAAATAATAAACTAATAA